TGGGGTTAAACCTGGGCCCCGCAGGTCGACGCAGTCGGTTCGGCTCCGTCGTCGTCCGCTACCTTGTAAGACGTGCCATGAACATGTATTTCCAGCAAAGTTGCGTGATTCGACGACGGCGCTTCGCGTTCGCGACCTTCCATCTCGGGTCGCGCGCCCACGAGCCGGCGGTGGCGATCGTCGTCGGAGCCGCGAGGGTGCGGTCGCATGCCCGCGATCGTCATTGATGGACTATGGCGCGCCCAGCTGGCATCGCTCCATCGCGTCGTGGAACACGCGACAGAAGTAATCCTCTGTGGCTTCGATGACATGGAGGTGCCCCCGGCGGTCGTGTTTGGACAGGCCGCGGCGCTCAACGGCGCCCGTGCGCGGGGCTGGTGGGCGAGGGCATTCGCGAGCAAGGTGAAGTGGTGAGTTGCAATGATGGCGCTTCATGGTCTGGCCACATTTGCCGATGGGGTTCTGTCGGCGGCTTCCGCCCACGCGCGCGCCCTTGCCTCGGCCTCTGCCGCGACCTCCACCGAAGAGCTGCTCGCGTGCTTCCCTTGCCGGCGAGACGCCCCCGCCCTCCTCGGCCGCCTCGCCCGCCCGTAGGGGCGCGGCTCGTCGAGCGTCGTGCTCGGAGAACGGGCTTGCGGATGAAGCGTCGCGGCCTGCCGCTGTGGCGCCGCTTGAAATGGCCCCCGGGCGCGGTGGCCCTCCGGTAGGTCGGCGAGATCGCCCCGCGCGCAGTTGGCACCGCGCTTCAATCCGAAGAAGGATTCCCCCCCTCAATTGCGCAGTCTTCCCTGGCATCCGTTCCGCGATGGGTCGTCGCCGTCGCAATGCTTCCAGAAAGTCGCCACGCTCTTGCCGATTGCGCGGCGGTGGGCCATTCGACGGCTGACGGGGGATGCATTCTTTGGGGGGGTTCACAGGGCTCGCACACATGACGAACAATAACTGGGAAATGTCCAGACCGAAACCGGCCGTGTCCGTCTCCATCCTGGCGATCTCCCATCGGGCAAGGGTGCTGTCGAGGGGCTCGTTCGGCCGCGCCCGAAAGTCCATCAGCTCGAGGCCTCGTTGCTCTCATCATCTAGGCTCTCGAACCGTTGTGCCAGATAGTATCAGCCAGCGTTGGCCCCAAATAGATTAGATGACTCTAATCAAGGGTTTTTTATTTTTATAAAAAAAAGGTGCGCAAGCAAGCGCGCAGGCAAGCAAGCACGCAAGCAAGCGAACAAGCAAGCGCGCAAGCAAGCAATCATACATAAGCATAAGCGCAGGCATCGGAGTTAGAGGGGGCGCAAGCATAGGAATAGGCATGGCCATCGGAACTACGGAGGCATATGAATGTGGGGGGGACAACGGACCAATTAGTAAGGTTGGAGCGAGGACTCTTATAGGGCAAGCCTATTTGGATAATATAAGACATATGTTACGGGGTCCTTCGGTGGCTCGTTGTGGCTCGTTGACACCCGCGCCGCAACTAATGGCGGCGGGAGGCATTCTCATGGCCGGCGTCCTGCTAGGCCCTGGAGTCTAAGCTGCAATGCTGCAGCCTGTTGTGGTGGCGTCATGCGTCCGGCATGGACGTAGGGCCACGCGTGGACTTCCCTGGTCCACGCTCGATTGGGGGCCGAGCCTGCTGGATCCCACCCATGCGGGGCCTCTCGCTTGATCACCTTCTCGTTTGTGGCTCAAGTGGCCGATGACCGCGCGGATGGCCACCGCCAATACTCCGCACGTATGCCACCACTCCCAGATAATACATCCTGTTGAGGTATATGGGAATAACTGACGGGGTTTTGTCGGTGGTCATGGTGCCGGTCGTGTTCCCACGATCGGGTGAAGGAAATGCGGTGTTTGTAGCCGTCGTTGGCGGTCGAGGGTCCTCGCGCACCCGACGGAATAGTGATGGGGAGGGGGGCCACTATCTCGTCGGTCGAGGTCTCCTCGCGCATCAGTAGCCCGAGCAATTAACGGAGTAGGCGCAGTGGTAGCGCTGATGTTGGGGCCCGCGTAAGTGTCGAACTCGTAATTGGCCCTGTTGCTCATGTTGTAGTCGTCCCGCGGGTAGAAGTCTTGGTGCGTGTTGTACGTGAGGGCGGTGGTGAGCAGGGCTGCCGCGGCTGCAGTAGCTCCGCGACCACATTTGAAGCGAGTGCTCCAAGACATGGCTGTGGTAGGGATGGAGCGTGATGACGGTGAGAGAGAACATTGCACACGTTTCTCCTCCCACCGCCGCAAATCAAGTGCAGGCAGCGGCGCAGCAGATCGGGTGGCGCTGTCTTGGGCCAGAACAGCAGGTGAAGAAGGCCAGCATGCGTCCCCACCCTGGAACGTACCCTCAAACTTTGTAGGGGTTCTGTATTCTGATAGGGGCCCTCCCCCCTCTACCAACGGACTGACGCGTGCAACCCCCGCCACTCCCGAAACCACGGCCCCTCGTGCGAAAAACTACAGGTCCGCGCTCCCGAGGCCACTATCCCCCGTTGTTTGTGTACGTTTCCGCGCCCCGAACTTCCAAAACGGCCCAGTCAGGCAACCAACATTTCCCAAGATGTCTGACACACGTGCCAAGATGGCCGACAGGCGGCCCACTATGGCCTCAAGATATCTCAAGATGGCCCGCTATGGCCTCACGACTGCACGGGATGCCTCCGAGAGAGTCCAATTGGCCCACAAGATGCCCCCCAACGGGGTGCGAAAAAGCCAAGAAGTCATTGCTTTTCCCGATGGCTTTCGAACAATGTTCGCATTCTCACATGTCCGGGCGTCAGCTCACGACGGCCCGGGAAGCCTCCAAGACGGCCCCACGAAGACCCCAGAGGCCACCACGAGGGTCCAAAGATCGCCCAGGATGACCCCACCAGGGCGTGAGATGCATCCAAGACGGCCCCAACACGGCCCAAGGGGGCCTCCCGTAGGACCCAAGACGGCTTTGGAAGGCCCTTCGACTGCCCAACACGGCGCCAAGACGCCCCACGACGGCCCCTAGACACCCACGATTCGGCCAGGAGGGCCCCAAGACGACCCAAGGCAGCCCCACCTCAGAAAGCCCCATGACAGCCCTCAAGACTGTCACACAGAAGGCCAAGACAGCCCCACTGCCCAGACGAGTTCCATGCGAGCTCCTCAAATCGTGAAGACGAAGGGTGTCACATGTGACGGCGTTCCTTTTCCTCCTCCTCCTCCTCCCCCTGCAAGCGCCGAGAGACAGTCACAGCACCGCTCATATTCTCGCGGACTCTGAGCTCGCCGACGAGCACCACGACAAGGAAGGGCCACTCGACGACCCAGGGCTCACCCGCCGCCCCCGCAAGCGCCCCCTCATTCTCCTCCTCAGCCTCCTCCTGCTGCTCCTCCTCCTCCTCTTCTTCCTTGCCCTCCTCGTCATCCTCGTCGTCTTCATGACAATCCTCATCATCACCACCACCACCGCCACCATCATCATCATCATCATCATCATCATCACCACCACCATCATCATCATCATCAGCAGCACCAGCAACAGCATCATCATCATCATCGTCATGATCATGGCCACCATCATCATCGTCGTCATCGCCATCGCCATCGTCATCACTATCGTCATCATCGTCATCATGACGATAACCAACATCATCATCATCATCATCATCATCATCATCATCATCATCATCAGCGTCGTCATCATCATAATAATAAGCATCATTAGCATCAGTATCGTCGTCATCAACGTCATCACCCTCATCATCAACACCACCATCACCATCATCATCATCATCAGCAGCATCATCATCAACATCAACACCATCACCACCTCCATCACCATTATAAGCAGCAGCAGAAGCAGAATCGCCACCACTACCATCATCATCAGCGTCAACGTTTTCATCGCCACCATCATCATCACCCTAAACATCATCACCGTCAGTGTCGTTACCACCATCACCATCATCATCACCATCAACATGACCACAACCACCATCATCAACATCGCCATCATCATCACACTTGTCGTCATTATAATCACAATCATCATCACCGTCATCGTCGTAATCGTGGTCGGCGTCATCATCATCATCATCATCAGCATCATCATCGTCATCATCATCGCCGTCGTCGTCACTGTTGTCCACGTCGTCGTCGTCGTTGGCCGTAGCAGCATCGTCATTATCATCATCGTGATTATCCTGACCATCATGAACGCCACCACTATCACCATCGCCCTCATCATCAAGAATCATATTCATCATCAATGTCGTCACCATCGTCGACGTCATCAGCATTTTCATCAGCATCATCATCATCAGCACCACCACCACCACCATCACCCTCGTCGTCAGCATCATCATCATCAGCATCATCACCACCGTCATCACCACCGTCGTCTTCACCACCATAGCTGCCATCGGAATCACAACGACCACCACCACCACCATCGTCATCGCCATCATCCGCCCCATTATCGTCAACATTGTCATCGTCATCGTCATCATCATCATCATCATCATCGTCATCATCATCATCATCATCATCAGCATTGTCATCGTCGTCGGCACCACTGTATCATCATCATCATCACCACCATCATCATCGCCAGCAGCATCGTCATCAACATCCTTATCGTCGCCATCATCACTATCATCATGAGCATCATGATCATCATGGTTATCATGATCATGCCCATCATCATCACGAACATCAGCATCGCCATCATCATCATCGTCGTGGTCCTCCTCCTCCTTTTTCTCCTTCTCATCCTCCTTTTTCTCCTCCTCTTTCTTCTCCTCCTCCCCCATCGTCGTCGTCGTCGTCCACGTCGTCGTCGTCGCCGTGGTCGTCGCTGTTGTCGTCGTTGTCTACGTCGTCGCCGTTGGTCGTCGTCGTTGGCAGCATCATCAGCATCATCAGAATCGACATCAGCACCAGCACCAGCACCATAGCACCATCACCACCACCACCATCATCGCCAACAGCATCAGCAGCATCAGCAGCAGCATCATCATCAGCAGCATCATCATATTCTTATTGTTTGAATACCACTACGGCGTGACTGGCACAGTTACGCGAAGCAGAAGATCACCAGGCGAACTCGGATCGCTATGCGAGCCGACCTGCCATAGGCAAACTCATGCGATAAAATGTAGCCAAGGGGGGGGGCAGAATTTACGAAAGGAGCGAGGCAGCTGGGGAAAGAAGGAGGAAGAAAAGGAACAAGAGGAGACGACACACACATACATGAGACAGAATGAGTCCGAAGCCTCAAAGATCCGTGACAAGACGATCGACCGAAGCCGCAAAGCCCTAATACGAATTCGCATAGCGCGATGTCGAATACCAAGCGCGCGGAGGAGGGATACCTCTCGAGACGTTGTGATCGAAGTGGCGTGTTCGAACATGTTGCGCCAGAGCAAGAACCGCCCCACGCACACCTCCGAGGCGAGCGACGGCTGGTCATTGCGAGCACAGCCGAAACCAACAACTAATGTTAGGTCGGGCCTGTCCCCCTACAGGGGGATCTTGGGCGAATAATTAAAAATACTAGAGAAGATACTCCGGAAATACTCAAAAATAGTCCAAAGATGGTCCCCAGACAATTTTGTATCTTTCTTTTTGTTGAAACTATTTTTTGAAAACTCCTCCTGTAGAGGGACAGGCCCGACTCAAAACTAATGCCACAACGGTGCTGACCGACGTGCCCTCGGCGAGGGCACGGGCGAGCGCGCGACGCGGGCCGGCACGCGAGACCCGGCGAAGGCTCCCCGCCAACACCACGGCGACCAGCTGCGCTGAGTGGGGGGCCACTTGGCCGCCGAGTTGTTTTTTTGGGGGGAGCTGAGGGAGTGCGGGACGGGAAAATGACCACAGCCACTGCTTCTTGTTTGCGCCGCCTTCCAGCCAGCCGAAAAAGAAGCAGTGGTTGTGGTCATTTCCCTGGTGCCAAGCTCAACGAAAATGACCACAACCACTGCTTTGTTTCTGCGGGCTGGAAGGCGGCAACAAAAGAAAAGCAGTGGCTGTGGACGTCTTCACGCCCCGTAGGGAGGAACGGTGGGCTGACAAAAAGTGCCCACGCCTGTCGCGCCAAGACGACCCGTCATGACACCACGTCGATCGAATCTGTAGCGCCCCCTTCCCCCCGACTCAAAGTTGGCGGGGTTGGGCGGCAGGCCGCGGTCCAGGGACAGAATGTGGACGCTTCCACTTTGGGTTCGGGGGGGGAGGGGTGCGAGGCAGTTGCGTCGTGCAGGTGTGGCTGTTATCATGCCACAGTATCTTGCCGCTCTGGGTGTGGACACTTTTTGTTTGGAGGCCCGAAATGAACACAGAAAGAATGGGTACACTGCCCACCAACAAATGTTGTCCCAAACCAACAGCGGCGGCCACTGTTGGGCAGGCGGCCTTCTGTCTCAAATGGACACAGGCCGCGGGGGCGCGGACAACGAGCCCTGTTCAAAATGCACAGGAACTGCTGTTGGGCACTGTACCCATTCTTTCCGTGCCCATCTCGTGCGTGCAGATTTTGTCCGGGCACCAAAGGAGGGGAGGCAGGAGGAGGAGGAGGAGGAGGAGCAGCAGGAGGAGCAGCAGGAGGAGGAGGAGGAGGAGGAGAGGAGGAGGAGGAGGAGGAGGAGAGGAGGAGGAGGAGGAGGAGGCAGGTGGGAGGGGAGGTGGAACAAAAAAAAAGCTACCCCCTGCGACGCCGCGGGCGCGCCGCGGCTGGGGCAGGCCGGCGCAGAAGCCGTCGGCGCGGGCCGGCACGGCGGGCGGCAGCCCGTCGAGGACGCAGACGGAGCATGCAAGCAGGGAGGGGACGAGAGGGAGGGAGGGGAGGGAGGAGTAGAACCAGGTAGGACATATGCAACAAGGGCTCCCAACTTCGCGCTTCGCGCTGCGCGAAGTGCGAAGTGCGAATAACTTCGCGCTCTCGCGCCGCCTCCCAGGAGAAGAGAGGAGGATGAGGGGGAATCGGAGCCGAACCGCGAAGCGCGAAGCGCGAATAACTTCGCGCCCTCGAGGGCGCCCTTGTGCAAGCTGTACGGTCGGACCTAGGACAGAAGAACATCCCTCAAGAACTTGAGATCCTCCGCCAGCCCAACCACACAGAACATCCAAGGGTACCCTCCCCAGGATGCACAAGAGCATCCAACGAACATGAAGAACACTAGGGTACCCTCCCCGAACCGACCTCGATCTTATACCTTGGTTCGGCTGTACTGCAGAAGCCGCCGGCGACATGCCATTCGGATTCAGGAGACGTCCAGGTGGCGGCCTCCCCTGGCAGACTGTAGCAAGGAAGGCCTGCGAGTCGAAAGTACGGCCTGCACATGCGCATCTAGTAAAGTGGCTGTATATTCCGGAGACATAAACAGCTGTCTTGACGCACTTGATAACGCCAACGCAGCCACTGCGAGTTATCACTGCCAGCGCCGGCTGTGGTCATTGGGGCGTGAGGCGAGCTCGCAACCTCCATCCAACACGTCGGACGATTCTAGCTCGCCTGGCTCCAAAATCTGCCGAAGGCAAACCCTCAGAAACACTTCCCATGAACAATGGTGGGGCCTGGCTCATCGTACTCCCCGAAGGCAAACCCTCAGAAACACTTCCTATGAACGATGGTGGGGCCTGGCTCATCGTACTCCCCCTTGGAGATCCACATCTGCTGGAATGTGCTCTTCGAGGGAAGGAAAGAACGACCGATCCACACTGAGTACTTGCGCTCGGGCGGAACCACGACCTTATTCTTTGTGGAAGGAGCCAACGCCGTCGGCTCCTTGGTCACGCGCTCGCTGATGCCTGGGAACATTGTGGTGACACCAGACAGCACCACGTTGGCGTACAGGTCCTTGCGGGTATCGACATCGCGTTCCATGACCGACTGGAACGTGGTGTCGTGGATACTGGTCTTCCTTGCCCGCGAACTTAAGCTGAAAGAGCAACTCTGGGCAACGGAAGCGCTCGCTGCCCAGGGTTATGGTGTTCCCGTCAGGGAGTTCGTACACTTTCTCCTTGTCGGAGCCCTCAGCGGTGACCTTCATCTCGGAGTCGATGCCGAGCGGGATTTAGCAGAATTCTTCCCGCAACGCCAGGTCCAGGCGCAGGATCGCATGCGGCAGCGCGTAGCCCTCATGTGCGACACGTGCGACGCGCCATCGCCGGAACCCATGACCATCCTACTGGTGCGGACTGAGAAGTACCGCGAGAAAACTGCCTGGATCGCGACGTACATCGCTGGCACGTTGCACGTCTCAAACCTGACCTGCGTCATGCGACCGCGATTCGCCTTCGGGTCCACGGGCACCTCCGAGAAGACCAGGGGGTGCTCCTCCGGAGCTACGCGGAGCCCGTTATAGAAGGTGTGGTGCCAGATCTCCCCCATGTCGTCTCAGTTGTTCACGATGCCACGCTCGATTGGGCACTTCAGGGTCAGGACGCCGCGCTTGCTCTGGGCCTCGTCGCCCGCGTAGCTGTCCATCTGGTCCATGCCGACCATGAACCCTGGCATCAGAAGAAGCTGCACCCCTGGGGCGGACAAGGAGACAGTGCAACCTGGCGCGAGCCAAACGCACTGAGAAAATAAAACTCTTCACACCTGGGGTGAACCAGGAGGCAGGCTGACGCCTGGGGCG